TAGGCTTTTATATAGGCTTAATCCACTAAGGGTGGATAACCTAACACTAACAATTTTGTGATCATCAGTAATTCAACTGAACCCAAACCTTGAATAGCAATTTAGGAGGAGTTCCCGCATCCTTCATGACACTCTTAATATTCATTTGTTTCCATACTCAGTTGAGCGTCATTATATCTGAAACAATAGCCTAAGCCCTATAAAATATTTCTTGAGTTTTGGCCAAAAATGAAAAAGAAAATATTTGTTGAGTGTATATATTGGTATTTTCAAAAATACCTTCATTCCTTCTTTTTTATAGGAGCCAATAGAGAACTACAAATAATTTCTTCTTATTTATAAATTACTTTTAATATATTTGACTATGGAGAGAATATTTCATTCTCTTTCCCACTCTTTAGCAGATATATCTAGTTGCAAGGCTTCATATTCATCTCATCAAGTGAAACAAAAAACATTCTTTTTGGATTAGTTAAAATTATACAATCTACTTAATGAGAAATTCTTGCATAAACTCAGTGCACCATATTATTCATGGTCTATTTAATAAAAACATGCCATGTTAGCACCAATTGAATCAAGTAAAATCTTATGTCTTATTATTTTTAAGGATTTTATTTTTTGAATTTCTTTTCTTGTCATTTCTCTTTCCATCATCATCAATAACAAAATAAATTTATATTTACAACCATATGATATGATATATTTTTGTTGAACTAATCATAAATGACATGGTGCAAGAATTTCTCCTCTTTGATTGGCAAAGCAAGAGAGAGGAAAAAGAATGAATTGATCGAACAAAGCTGAAATAGTGTGCCTTACAAACAAAGCACAATCAAAAATCCAGAGGTTTCTCCATTTGCCTTGTCTGAATACAGAAAGTGAATCTATATTGCTTTGGTGGTTGTTAAAACTTAAAAACATTACTATTTTTGTCTTTAAAGAGGTAAACAAATGTGTTGACTTACTCACATATGAAATTTTTAATGAAAATTATGACCTCTTTATTTATAACGTACCACTTATGGGATGTAGGATCATTTTGAATTTTAATATATCTTGACTCTTGTAACCCTTACACGGTTTCGTCCATGTCTTTTATTCAAAAAAAAAACATCTAGTTAAATTATATAAATAACAATTTGTTCTCTTAAAATATCATAATTTTATTAAATTTTTTTAAAATTTTTCTATCATTAATAAATTTATATAAATGATTAAATTGCCTTTATTAAAAATAAAATGATCATACATTTTGTTTAAATAATAACAAATTTTTTTCTCATATTCATAATTATGCAACACAAATTACAACTTGTTTGTCAATTTCTAATATTGTTATAAGTATTGTAAATAACAAGTAATGATAATAAGTTTCATTTAAATAATCACACTTTTTTTTATATTCACAACAATGCAATAAATCATAAATTTACATGTCAAATTCGTGATATTGCTACAAGTGTTGAAAATAACAAGTAATGATCACAATTTTTATTTAAAAAATTATAACTTTACTTCTTATATTTACAATAATTTAATAGCAAGTCACAATTTTACATGTCAAATTTTTGATATTGTTAGAAGGGCAATTTAATCATTTATATAAATTTATTAATGACAAAAAAATTCTTAAATATTTTAATAAAATTATAATATTTTAAAAGATTAAATTATTATTTATATAAGTTAAAGGATTTTATTGTCATTTTTACTATAATATAAACAAAAGTATTTGACTTTTTAATTTTAATATTTATTATAATTAAATGATAATATAATAAGATTCAACAATCATACTCTCATTTTTCCAACCTTTTTTCGTTGGCCCGCAAACCAAAACTTTAAATATTAATTCCCATACTAATAATTACATATACCATTTAGTTGGTGTGGCACAACAAATAATAGTTTGGGTCCTTTTAAGCATTATTTTAAAATTTAATTCTTAAAAATGTGTATAAAGAACATCATTTTGGTGAGGTGTTCAAATTCGTTGAAGGATCACGGATTTACTTCTACTAATTTTTGAACATTTTGAAGTGGACATGTTTGACAAAAGTACAATTAACTTGAAATCAAAATGATTGTACATTTTTTAAACTTTTCTTTTTCTTTTTTACTCATATTTTAATAGTAAAAAAACTCACTCTATTTAAAAATTATTGATGTCAACTTACTCTTGAATTGTTATAGTAAAATTTTGATTGCATAATTTGATTGTTGATATTATATGAATTAAAGTGTGGAGAACATTTAAAACTCATTTTTTTGTAAGAGAACAAATAAGATTAAAAAAAACATAGATGAAATAATGATAAAATTAAAACTTAATATGTTATGGTTGAACAATTTTAAATCATGTCAATATTTTTAATATTTTATTTTTATACATTTGTTTAAATATTATTTTTTATTGAATTATTATCATGTCATAAGTTTAGCCATCAAGCTAACCCGATTTAAACATCAGAATCATGATCCAGCTAATATTTTGGATTCATTTGCTAGGTCTAGTTTTTAAAACAATTGCACAAAGCTAACCAATTTTTCCCCACAAATTCACTTTTCTTGTATGCATTGGTACTTGCATGAGTGTACATGGATGTTTACTTGCTTTATGATTATGTTATAACACGTTTGACGTATAAATTTAGTATAAAATAAATGTGTACCATTGATCAATGCTTATATATTCTGCTATGATGTTTGTCATTGAAGCTGAAGGGTTTCAAATTCCACAATCATTCAATGTTTGTCTTAACAATAACATTTAGAATAAAATTTATATACTTAACTTTATATATTTAATATATTTTTGTTCAATCAAATTAATATATATGGATTTTAATATATTACTAATGAAAATTTGTTATATATTAAATAATCTATAAAAAATAAATATGTCTTGATTTAATTAAAAACAAGTACCTTAAATATATAAGGTTAAGTATAAAATTTTTTCTTAACATGTATCTTCAAACTGCCAAAAATATAAAATAATAATGTATTTATTTAAAATTTTGCAACCCTCTACATGACAATACTTCATTAAGAATATATAATTAGCAAGGAACATAGATAACCATGGTGGAATTTGGAGTCTACAACGTTAACAATGAATCCCTTAAAATCTACTTAAAAAAAAATCCACATTCTTAAATAAATATCTCATGGTCAACCAAAAAAAAAAACTCAATCCATTCAAAAATATAAAATATTTTATGAGATTAAATGTATTTAACGAGGTTTTTTTTTTCCTGTCAAAAATAACCTTAAACCACTTAACCATTCACCTTTAAATGAGACACTCTATTAAGCAAGATCAAATGTAAAATGATAATATCAGTTTAAAAATAACTAACTAACTTATTATAAAGTATAAATGAAAAGTATAAATTCGATTAAAAATATTTTGTACTATTGTTTTGAAGGAAGGAAGTAAATGAATACATAAATCATGAACCAATGTTTTTCTTTCCAAACTAGATGTATATACATGCTATATATTTATATTGATTTGAGTAACCAAATAATGGCATGCCAAGTGAAAATGAAAATCGAATGCATCATCATGCTTGATCTGCTGAAAAGTTTCCCATTTTTTCATCTAATAACAGCATCTATATTTTGAAGGGTAAGCCATTAAATCACTGGATTTTAATACCAACCTTCATCCAATCATGCTTTATGGCCTGTTTGGTTGGGGGAAGGGCTCCCCTCCATCTTACCAAACAAGGGGATGTTTGGTTGTTTGGTAAGGTGGAGGCTCCCTCCCCTCCCCTCCCCTCCAAAACCTTTTCCCAACCAAATAAGCCCTTAGGGTTCTAAAAATGATTGGAAAGAGCATCGGATAACAGAGACTTTGTATGGTGAAAACAGAACACTCTAAAAGAATATTGCTTCTAATTCACCAATGATCCAAAGAGCACACACCAGCCCCTAACAAGATAGAAATCTGCTTACACAAATCAAAGTATTTAATTCATTCATTAAAAAAAAAATACTAAAATCATTTCTCTACTACAAAAGAAATGAAAAGGCAACAAATTTAAAATTTGTTTCGCTTCTTTTTGTCCCCTCTCTCAAAGGATATAAAACCATGACGGCATAACACCAATATATCACATGGCCAGGTCCCAGATGATCATACACCATGTTATGTTTTTATAATTTCTCGCCTCTCTTTTCTCTCTTCCTCTTCAACCTCTCGTCTCTCATCTTCTCTAAACCTTCCTCTGTTCTTCTCTCCTCCTATCTTCTTTTACCATCTCTTCTATTCTACTATTACAAACATCTAACACACCAGCAATTATAACATATGTCCATTTTTACAAGAATACTAAACAGCTTGACGTGATAGATAGGTCTACTAAAACTGCTGCCACTGAAGACCAAAGCAGTTTCAATAAATCAATGCCAAAGCATGAAAATGCCCACACGAATAACTAAATTTCCAAATTTCCAATCCCATCCACAGGTTTAGAGGCGCACGCACGCACATATATATGAATGAATGAACCAAGAAAACTTCAAAGCAAACAATATTAATAAACTAGAGATATATTTTTCACATAGAAAAAACCATTGGCATGTTAATAAAATAAGTCCTAAATTCGAGGCACATCCGGTGTTAAATATCTGCATTCATCATTCTAGATAACCTTACATAACAACAAACATTAGAGGCATAGTATGATATAAAATATCCATTTTCCACTTCTAATAATGTTGAAGTTTAAAATATCAAACTGTAATGCAAGAGGGGAAAAACTCGAACTCAACCAAAGCAAAAAGAAAATAAATGCATTCATTACTCCAAAATAGAAGAACAAAATTCATAACTAGATAACTCCATCAATTGTGGATATTTAAAGAAACCACATCAAGCAAGAAAACCCAAAACCACAACTGGATAACCCCATCACTTAAGGCTGCAGAAGAAGAATACAGAAGGAGCAGAGTAAACAAAGAAAATTGCAAAGTATGAGACTTCAATGTAAAAGCAGAGAGAAGCATTCGTTACTTTTCTGGCCTCTCAATTACATACAATATAATAAACTACTGGTATACTTTTCATATAAAATTGACATATTAATAAACAAGTCCCAAATACTATATTTGCTTTAACAGCTAATGAGCTGTTCCTTTATTTATCAAAATAAATAAATAAATAAACAAATAAACAAGTCCCAAATTATAGGCACATCTGGTGTTAAATATCCGCTCCGCATAAGATCAAATATCAAATATCATAGGCATAGAATGATCTCAAATATTGGAGATTCCATCCCACCAACAATGTAAATCTACATTGTAATAATTTAAGATCTAGGATCAAGATTCTTCAATGTGGAGCCAACTGGTACAAGGCTTTCCGCATAATTGGAAATACTACTGACATAATCGGGATAGACAAAACTCTTAACTTCATTAGTAGTGAGATTTATCAGATAAAGAGCATTTCTTCCTTTTGCATTATCCTCTTTAGAACAAGGTTTGCAGACAATTTCGTCCCTCCAAATAGTCAACGGATCTAACCTGAATGAGAAGGGGCTGCTGGTATATCTTTTATTCCAGCTCCATATCTTCTCAGATTCACATGTACCCTCATCCAAAACCCACAAACCAATCAAATAAGATGGTTCATCATCATCTTCTGAAAGGCCACAAAGTATTGCAAGTTTATTTTCATAAACAGTAAGCATTCCATCTGCATTATAATCTAAATCAGGCCTCGGTATCAATGTAAAGACTTCCTTTGCTATGTCAAATGAAACTATCATCTCAACATCATCTTCACCCTCATCCTTCGAACCTAGCTTTGATCCAAACCAAAACATAGCTCCATTAGCTGTGACAGTGTCAGAATGAAGATTCACCCCCTTTAAGTTCCCAATATCTATTCCCTCCCATGACCCTCTGCTTAACGAAAACACTTCCACTGCTTCCACCCCTTTAAGCTCATCGTCAAAGCCATCATCAAACTCAGCATAAGTTCTCACTATCTTGTAATCATTAACAATTGGACTGAACCCAAATCCTTCAACCCAATCATGATAGTCAATAAAATCATTTCTGTTACGAGGCACATGTCTGACCGCTGTAGTCGCCGGATTCCACAATAAAAGGGGAGGAATAGATCCGTCATCCTCATCGATTTCAACACAGAGAAGGCCATTGCAGGAACCAACGATACTTGCATCCTCCAAGGAATCGATCAATGGTGCATTCTGAACTTCACGGATCTGCATCCCGCAATCGAGCAAACGCAAGCCGTGATCTGCATACCATTCCATAAGAAGAGAAGGTTTTTGCTGACTGGAGTGTTGAAGGTGGTCGGCGATGAAAGAGGGAGTTTTGATGACATCTTTCCAACGCTTGCACACACATTTAAATCGGCTTAGGGATTTTACCGGAAGTCGTTTGAGAATGTTTATGATGATCCCTTCAGAAAGAAATGGCATGTCGCTATCCATTCCCGTCCGCTTCAGCTTCATGATGCTCGGCTCTAACGGATTTCTCAGATGAAAGCCATTACGGATTTCAGATGGCAATAGTAGACAGAAGATAGTTGGGGTTGGGTCGCTAGGCTATCGAACTTCCATTCCATTTTACTGAACCGAACGAAGTTCAAGGCTTGAGTTGAGAAATGAGCGGGCGCAGTCGATATGAGCCCGGCCTTATGAGCCTTCTGATTTTTTTAAAATGTCTAACTTTTTAAAGTTCGACTTTTATACGAAAGACTTAAGGTTAAGCTTTTAGATATTTATTATTATTTTTTATTTTATAAAATTTTTAAAAATTAAAATTTTTAATTATGATATTTTATATGTTTTTAAAAAATATAAATTATAATGTTTAAAAATTAAAAATAAATAATAAAAATTTTAATTTTAAAGTATAAACATATATTCTAAAGTTTAAATTCAATTTAAAAATTAAAAATATTTTAACTTTTAAGGGAAAAACAAAAACAAGTTTAAAAGGACCGTCCAAGCTCGAGCTCCTTTTTTAGGGCATATTAGGATCGGGTTTGAAAGCTCAATTTTCTTAAAAAAATGTCATTTTTTTCAAATTCGAACCTTTATAAAAATAGGTTTAAATAGACAGCCCTCTAGATTCGGCTCTTATTCTCGACTTTATTCAAGGATTTGGTTTTGAGCCCACAATCCAAAACCTTTGGTGCTAGATAATATGCAAGAAGAATGGCATTAAGGGCTTTAAAAATAGACTTTATTGCAATTTGGGGCTAAATAAATCTAATATTGCTCTGTAGGCCTTGGGTAGGTTGTGCAATTTACCTAGAAACCCGTATATCTGCCCATACCCACCTGACCCGTGTTTAAATAGGTCAACCCATACCCATTATTTAAGGAAAATAAATAAGTATGGGTAGGTATATACCCGTATATCAATAAACAGGTGGGTAACGGGTAAGGCTATGGGTGGCCCGTACCCGCCCATTTATATTTAAAAAAAATCTTCAGTTCTTTTTCAGCTGGGTTGGGGTGTTGTTTTCAAAAAAAAAAAGATAAAACTAAGCCCCAAGCATTCAACCTATGATGATGTGATTAGCTTAGCTCTGCCCCTCTGCTGTCCATGTGTGAGATAGTGAGAGTTTAAGTTGTGCCTTAAACAAGTCTTGAGTAGTGTGTAGTGTGTGTCGAGCTGCGAGCTGCCTCTCGTCCTCTATACTTTCCTTTTCATCCTCTGGTTTTCCTTCACCAGTTGCCCCTACCCAGCTTCCCTTCGGCTATCTCCCTTCCTCTGTTCGCGACTTCCCGTGAGTCGGTGAGTGTGATGGCTTATAATCTCGAGTTTAAAATTATAAGTTTTCTTCGTTCTAACATACCGTCTTTTCACAGCTAGTCGAGCGACATTTATTCTGGATTTCAGCTCCTCTAAGGAGCCTCCTTATTTGTTCAGGATTTTAGCTTCAGCTTTATCGTACAGCATTCGCTATTTTGCAAGTTCACCTTCACTGATTTCATTTTCTCCTCTCTGGTTATTTTCGTGCATTCTCATCATTTTGTTCGACTCTCTGGTTATATTTTGTTGGTAATTTGGTCTGCACTTCTGGGTGATTGATACAATGATTATATTGAATTTTAGTCTGACTCTCTGGTTATATTATGTTGGTAATTTGGTCTAAACTCTCTAGTTATATTGAATTTTAAATTTATATGCATGTTTGAGTGTTTAAAAGATTCATGATTCTTTGGTTATATTGATCATATTATTTAATTTTTCTAGCTCGCTGTTGTTGGTTTGGTACTCTACTTTGCCCATAATTCTCACTGATAGCAAACAAACTTCTATATTTTAAGCAAATTCTAAGTGTTCGTAAACAACAATCAATCAAGGCGTGGTGTCGCAAGGCGTGCTAGAGACGCAGGGTATTAAGAGGATAGAAGAACCTGACTTCTAATCAAATGTGGGGATCCAGGCTCCCTTACTACAGTTTACCCGGATGTGAGAATGTGAAGTAAAGAATACTAATGGAGATGCAGAAAAGCAGAGATACATTAATTAAAGAAATAGGTGGTGGGCTATGCCGGATAAACAACGAAAAATAAAAACTAAAACTACATGATAAAAGAAAAAATAAAATAAAATAAAGTAGCAGATGCAGAGTCTGAGACTGACAGTTTGTTAATGTTGATGATGATTGTTGAGAGAGAGCTCCTCTATTTATAGATGATCTTGGCTTAGTGTCCAAGCCTCATGATTACCATTTTCCTTGAATTTAAGAAGCACTTCCTCCATCATGTTCACTCATTATGAGTGATGGTCTTGACTTAATAGCTAAGGCTTCATCAATATTCCTTTTTTTATATAAATATTTTAAAGCCAATTAAATTGAGTTGGGCCTGGGCCTCTAAATTCACAATTTAGGTATAAATAATGCCCCCCACATACAAATTGATTAGAGTCTTCGTAGGCCAATTTTATATAGATATATCTTGAAGGACTGGCTTATTCTCATTCTGATTAATGGTTGATCTGGTACCTTTCTTGGAGAACACCCTTGTGATTGAGGATTAAGGACCATGTGGTCCAGTTTAGGATTAAGTTTCTCAAGGTTTAAGACCTCAAGAGCTGGTTTCGGAATTAACCCTTCGAGTTTTTAGACTTTAAGGACTAATTCTGTAAAATCTAGCTGTTGCGAGGCCCCTGTGGAGAGAGCCTTTCTGGAAAGGGCTCTAACAAAGCTCACTTTTCTGACTTTAGCCCTTGTGATTGCTGGCCCTTATGGTTGTGGCCTTTATGGTATCGGCCCTTATAGCTGCAGCCCTTGTGACTTGAGCCTCTTTGATGTTGGCCTTTATGGTTGCGACCCCTATGGTGTTGACTCTTTGGTTGCTGCTCCTATGACTTCGGCTAGCCCCTTTGGTGCTGGCCCCAATGGCTTCAGACTCGATGGTGTTGGCCCCAATGACTCTGACCTTTATGGCTTTGGCCTCTCTAGTGCTGGCCCTAATGGCTTTGGCCCCGATAGTGCTGGCCCCAATGACTTTAGCCCTTATGGCTCCGGGCCCTTTGGTGTTTGCCCTAGTGGCTTGGCCTTGATAGTGCAAGCCCCAATCACTTCGACCCCGATAGTGCTGGCCCTAATGACTCTTGCCCTTATAGCTCTGGCTTCTTTGGTGCTAGCCCCAATGGCTTTAGCCCCGATAATGCTAGCCCTAATGGCTCTAACCCTTGTGACTCTAGCCCCTTTGGTACTAGCCCTAATGGTGTTGCTGGCCCTTGTGACTTCGGCTCCTCTAGCCAAACAAGCCTACTATTGAATTAGACCTGTCATTTATCTTTTGAGGGATATTATAGCGGTTCTCATTATTGATCTTTTAGTTGAAGGGAACTTTGGGAGACTACCCCCTGAGTCCATCTGTTCTCTAAAGGTGCGAGTCAATTGGAGCTTGCTCCTGCAACAATTTAGACAGCATAGCAGAGATGTTCCTTAACCCCTCCTTCAGAGTTTGCAACAGAGCTCTTTACCTCTTATTAGCTCGTACTTCATGTTCTGCGTGTGCAGTCATGTTCTCTAAGTCGTAAGACTCAAGTCTATTCTTTCCAACAACATATTGATCCTTATTTGTCCTAGGCATTCCTTTTACACGAGTCCCATCGGGCGTGCCAAAAATTGTTCATAAAAAATAATCAATCAAGGCCTGGTGTCACGAGGCGTGCCAGAGATGCAAGTTCTCAAGAGGATGGAAGAACCTGATTTCTAATCAAATGTGGGGAACTGGGCTCCCTTACGACAATTTACTTGGATGTGAGAATGCAGAGTAAAGAACACGAATGGAAATGCAGAAAAGCAAAGATACATTAATTAAAGAAATAGGTAGCGGGCTATGCCGGCCAAACAACAAAAACTAAAAACTAAAACTACATGATAAAAGAAAAAATAAAATAAAATAAAGTAGCAGATGCAGAGTTTGAGATTGATAGTTTGTTGATATTGATGATGATTGTTGAGAGAGAGCTCCTCTATTTATAGATAATCCTGGCTTAGTGCCCAAGCCTCATGATTGCCACTTTTCTTGAATTTAAGAAGCACTTCCTCTATCATGTTCACCCATTATGGGTGATGGTCTTGACTTAATGGCTAAGGCTTCATAAATATTCTTTTTTTATATAATTATTTTAAAGCCAATTAAATTGAGTTGAGCTCAGGCCTCTAAATTCACAATTTGGGTACAATCACTTAGATAAAATTTAGTCTATTGAAAATTCATAAACAAACTTCTACATTTGCTTTAATTTACTGCTAGTGGCATATTTTTTTTAATGTTGAAGTCTGTCCTTTTTGTTATTTTGATCTAGAAACTCTTTAGTCTTTCCCACAAGATATTGTCTATTTTCTAAGGCTTGTTGGTAATTGTATTTGTATTGTATGTGATTGTTAACGTGCTATACCTAACATCCAATATGTTTATGATTGGTTTGTTTTGGTTGTTATATAGTTTTTACTTTAAAATTCACTATGAAAAATGTGCAAGCCGTGGAAGAGGACCGTGAACCTAAAACTACCACCACCATCACAGTACCCATTAAATTTAAAGTTACCCAAGCTAAAGAAGCATCAACCTCCAAAGATAAAAGGAGTAAAACATCTAAAATGTGGAATCATTTTGAGAAGTTTATAAATAAAAAAGGTGAGCATCGGGCTAAATGCAACATTGTGGAAGGCATTTTGCTGGCCGTTATTCTAAAATCAAGACTAAGAACCTTTGACGGCATTTTGATTCTTGCCCAAAGAATCCAAACAAAGCCAAGGCGAGACAGTCCTTATTGCTGCTTCTTTTGATAAATCAATGACTCATCACCCATATAATGCAAAACGATGTAAAAAAGTAGTTACTGAATTCATTATTTTGGATGAGATGCCTTTTCAAGTTGTGGAAGAGCAAGGTTTTAAAAAAAAATATTGGAAGTGCTTAAACCAAGATTTACATGCCCCTCTTGCACCACTATGACTAAGTTGTGCTAAAAGATATATCTAGAAGAAGCAAAATATTTGAAAAGGTATTTTAAGAAATTTAAAGTTTGTGTGTCACTTACAACAAATTGTTAGACTTCAATTCAAAATTCCAACTGCATATGTTTGACAGTTTATTAGATTCATAAGGAATGGATATTACAAAAATGAATTTTGAATTTTTG